AAAAAATCCTTAAAACGGGCTAAATTCAAAAAATAACCACGCAGAGCGAAAGAAGTGCTATTTCTCAATGATAGGGTAAAATTTCGAGGCTTTATCTCACGTTTTGATGATTTTATTTAAATTTTTGATGATTCCCCATACATTTCCTTATAAAAGGACACCACAGAAACCAAGCTTGGGCTACCTGTGGTAAAATTGATCTATGTGCCGTCTTAATTCATCTCTTGTCGTATTCTCTTCTCGTCAGCTGTTAATAAAGATCAAAGTCATTACTCTAATAAAGCCTAATTTACCCCCTGGACGCCCCATAATGCCTTGCAACAATGAAGCTGGTCTTTCTCACAGACTCTGAATGCAGTTAGGAAATAGTAGTAATTGTGGTTATTGTTTTTTTATTATCGAGCTTAACTTGTAAAAGGGTCGTAAAAGGGTCGTCGGTATTATGAGTCCATACGAAGATAGCGCATTTCTATTCGATCAAGATCCTTTACCATCACTAAGTTTGGTTATATTTCTAACAGGCAAAAAGAGAAGGAAAAAAAAGAAAGAAAGAAAAAAATCACACACACACACACACACACACAAATACGATGCATTATCCCTATGAGTATTTCTTCAATCCATCAATTGATAACATATCCGGATAAAAGACTAAGAGGTCTCTGTAGACTAGGATCAGGATAACCCTTCGTTTAGTAATTGCTCTGTCATAAATTCCATTCCAAATATATCCGCTTACTCTTAAGGATCTTAACTCTAGATTGAGACCTTGATTTTTAATGCATTCGGTTATCTTAACCTGATGATGTAAAACTGCACCAAATATCCGCGGAAATAAGAAAAAAATTGATGGCCGTTGAAATTTAGAACTGGTAAAAAATAAGTCTTAGGGCAAAATGTAGCATTCAATTTAAGAGGAGTAAATGAGTGGTAAATGAAGGTTAAGAACTTACCTTGAGCAGTGCATATAGATATTGAAACACAGGAATAATATTATGATCCAGCCATTTTGGAATGTTTCCTATTTATTTCTATTTGAAAAAAGGATTTGAAATGTCAAACTCGACAAGCATATCGTTTCACCAGCAATTTTAATTTGTTTACAAGAGAAACTTTACGAGCCATTACGGGTACCTGTAGGACCAAGGGAGCACGGCAGAAATAAATTTGTTTATTGGTCTTCCTGTGGTATTGACGTGTGCTGACGTATTCTCTACTTTCACATCCCATAATGCCTCGCGTCTTTGGGGGGTAACCAATCAAAAAACTGTCCCAAATTGAAAGGTTTCTTAATTGAATTTATACTATACATGCTTTTATCTGTACAATACTGATTATCAGTTTATTCCAAGTTTATTTTTGCGTGTACAGATCATAAAGAGTTTTGGTCTTACAGAAAATGTATTGACTTGCGAAAAAATTTTTAAAATTTAACTTAAACGTCTTTTTCTGATTTTTTACTTCCTCATTTTATTTTTGGATACCAAACAAGGTATTGTCAACATTGTCTGATCAGCCTTCAGCAAAATAAGTGGGTTTTTACCCATGGTTTACCCCCCAAAGACGCAAAGTATTATGGGGATGTGAAAGTAGAGAATACGGGTWTCCGCGAAAAATGGCGTGGGCTCAAGTAAATATCAAAGATGGCGGCGTACATAAAATTGGCAGGGAGGGAAACTTTTTGAAACTTTTTCATGTTCTAATTATTTTTAATTTCACCATTCTTCCCGTCACTTCCCGTCTAAACATAGTAACAGTTTAGAAACACAACACGATACATTGCCGAACAGAAAGTAACTCTACTTGTTCTCCTCGATCTCAGTGCAGCGTTTGATACCATCAACCACGTCATCTTGAAGAACATACTCGAGAAGGATTTCGGTGTATATGACGTTGCTCTTTGATGGATAATATATTTTCTTACTGATAGGAAGCAGCACGTGGTCGTCAACAAGTCAACATCTAAACCGTTTGATCTTTCTTCTGGCGTGCCACAAGGTAGCTGTCTGGGACCAATTCTCTTCATAATGTACGTCTCTCGTCTATTCCATGTTATTGATAAACACCTCCCTGATGTGCAGGGCTACGCGGATGACACTCAGCTCTATTTGTCTTTTCGACCTGACTCTATATCATCACAAGAAGATGCTCTCAGAGCTTTAGAGAACTGTATCGCTGATATTCGAGCATGGATGGTCAATCACCAACAAAGGCCCCGTCCACACTATGCCGGATAAATTTGAATCCGAATTTTTATTTATTCGGTTAGGCCTACCGTCCACACTGTTACTTAAACCTATTCAGACCCGATGTTAATCTTTCGGCGATCGTGCCTTCTCTGCAGCTGCTCCGAAAGTCTGGAAAACTTTACCAGGCCACATTAAGAACATTGACAATGTTGAACTCTTTAAAAACATACTCAAAACGTTTCTTTTCAACTTAGCATATAACTGTACTTGATTATTATTGTTATCTTTATTTTGTTTACTCATTTTAACATATATTTCAATCTTGAACAATTTCTTAAAAATAATTTTTTCTATTTTTATTGACTGTATATAATATTATTATTAAACGCTTTTGAATATTGTATAGTAGGATCACTATATAAGTTTTATTTTTATTATTATTACTACATAAAACTTTATTTAACGAGGGGAAAATCATATTAACTATTTTAATTGATGATTAAAAATTAAAATATAAATATGAAAAATTTATAACCGATATTAGATTATTTTATAATTGAATAAGTTATACAAATGACATAATACAGCAACACTACTAGACTAAGAATACTAATATAACACAGAGATTTAACAAGTTAGTTGAAACAACCAGGTGTTCTGAGATGGAAAATAGAAAAACTATTATTCACAATGAAGCTGGATCAAGTGATCAAAGTCTGTCACTGCCCACTATAGACCATATAAGAAAGGATCCCTTTTTTGTCCCTTTGTGTTGCTTGAGATACCTTAGTTCATCATTTATAGAAGACAACATTGCTTTCATCAGAACGAGTATACACTCAATTGAAGAATCATTGTCGGGTTCAGAAACATAGAACATAAGAGCTGAGACCGAAATGGCACATGGGAAATGACATAATTATGTTATAATTTATTCATTTGCGCCATCCATGCAGTCGGTTTAGAATGCCAAACGCGTATTCAGAAGACCTGCGTTTGAGAGTGGATGATGCCACGGGTCGCCGGTCACAGCATGCATCTAATCAACGTATTTCCCATGTGCCATTTCGGTCTCAGCTTCTATGTTCTATGTTTCTGAACCCGACAACGATTCTTCAACTTTGTGTATAGAACCCAGCTGTTTGAAATTAGAAAGGTTTGTATAGAAACAACAACCAAGGGCCTACCAGCATCGCTATCATGTTTTCGTTACAATTCAAATGCTTATTACTCTTCAGGGATTTAATATATGACAACAGAACTTTCCGAAATTACTAATCATAGACATGGTCTTTCTTGTAATGAAAATATATTTTTGAAATCATTAATTGTTCGTGGTGCTCGTTCCCAGTCTTACGCTCGTTTTTCATATGATCTATACTATAAGCCTAATGCCCAATTCCAAAGATCTTATAAGTTTTGATAAGATAAAAACTCAAGTTCGATCTAATAAATTAAGATACTTACGTATTATCGGATAAATTTTCTCACATCTGACATTGAATTTGATAGTAAGCTATAACTAATTTTTTTTCATTTCGAAGCACACCATTTCTGTGGTACATAATCCGGCATGCGTAAACGATCTAATACCGAAAACAAACTGAACATTATCTGTTAATACCCATTCAGAATGTCAGAAAAAACATTATTCTTCACATGGCTCAAAAGAACCCTTAAGATATGTAGTCACAATTCAGATACAAGATTCATATCTCTTGATACTGAACAATCAAATATTGGAATATACATTCCCGTATATCGTCATAGTTTTACTTAGGTTTAAGTGAAAATAGGGAAATTCGACATTTATAATTTTCATTTCTGACATCGGAAGACTGATTTCGTGATTTTCTTTCAAAGGTAGTCCCAGATAAGCTTTTCTTTGTAATACCACTTCCCCTGACCGTTGATTGCCATTGTGCGCGTATTAGTTTTTCGTCTGGGATTTTCATACAAGGTAGAACTACTCTCAAAAACGCTCTCTTCCAAGTTGCGTTCCTGAACGTGTAAATGAAGGGGTTTATAGCACTGTTGCAGTAGTGAAGAACCTTGACAAAATTGATGACTGGTGTAAAGCCAAATATGGCCTTTCCGCACGTCATGCAAAATGTTGCAACAAGAGAGACAACGAAGAAAGGAAGCCATGCCAGAATAAAAGCCACAAGTACAAAAGCAACCGTTACAGCAGTTCTCTTTTCCCTGTGAATGTACTTTTGGAGATTTCCAGCAGAATTACTTCTCCTGCGCTGAACGTATGACTTAACACTCTTGTAGGTCATGGCGTATAAGATAATAATTGTTATAAGAGGAACACAAAAACCGGCTACAAAGACCGCAATGGCGCGATACCGTATCCAGAACTTAGAGAAGTCAGCGACAATGAGACCACTTGTTATAAGGCCGTACAACCACGCGATAACTAGAAGAGCGTAGAAAAAATTCTTGGAGCAAGCCCTGTGCCACAGGGGTCTCGTAATAGCCAAACTGCGCTCACAACTTATGGCCATCAAGTGCGCAGTGGATGAAAGTGCACTGAATATATCCATAAACCTGTAAACTTCCATAAACCTAACACCGGGCAGACTGCAATTGTTATGAAGCGGAAAAACAAACATATATATCCACATTGGAATAGACACACACCCAACCAAAGTGTCCGAAACGGCCAGACTTGCAAAGAAGTAGTTAGTAACAGTTCTAATTTTCCTGTTCTTTGCAAAGGTACAAATGATGATTGAATTAATAGCGACGATAACGAAGATTAAGACTGAGTGCACAGCAATCAGCACGTTGACTTCAGAAGTCGGCCGACAAAATGTGAAAATTCCAGACTTGTTTCCTTGCGGCAAGGCATATAGGCTTTTTTGGTCCTCTGTTAGGTTCATAACTGACATTGAAACGTTCTGACGTTGGTAGGTTTATTCTTGGTTCTTGCTCTTCACATTTCTTCCGCAAAACCTAGATTTTGATACACACAAAGAAAGAGAAAAACATGTCAACATTTTCGTTATACGACGTTCTACGGAGGATTCTTTACGGAAACTAGTTTCGTCTTTGTCGACCTTTTCAATCCCTAATTATCTTATCGACTTTTTCAATCCGCATAATTATCTTATCGCGCCAATAGGATGCGCAGAAACAATGGCTGCGAACATCCTTAAGTATATTCCTAGCAATTTTAACTATTTGCTTAATTTGTTTGTATTACTAGTGGTTTAATTTTTACCTCAGGCTAATGCATTAAAATGTCAAATTTATTTGGACTTCCTATGTAAATCAATTTAATACGCTTAGCTATCAATATAGGAATTATATTCAATATATCACTATCAGGAGTATAAACATTTCAAACAACATTAAAGATGGGGCATAATAAT